ACAACATTGTCGCAAAGGATGGACTCTGGTCAGTGCGGACTTCTCTTCGAATGTTCTGCACTCCACGCCGCGCACGGATCCCACACCATGAAAGCCCAGTGTCTTCAGTGTTTGCTTTGGTTCATGTGACTCGAAGCTTGTCCTGTTCTCCAACTTCATCGGCAGAGTTCCAAGCTGGTGGGTTGGATCGCCGGGGCCTCCCTGCTTCTGGACCGACGTGCGCTCATCACTCGGTGTTAGGTGCGCAGTAAGCACCCGTCGTAGGTGGGGCCTCAGGATACCTCTATCACCTTGGGATGCCGACAGCGTGAGGGGGGGCGGACGGCAGCCTCCGGGACACACAGCTGGAGTGGAGGTCGGTCCTGGGGCAGCCAAGCTCCCAAACACCGGGGCACACACGGCCTCCCTGTCCCTAACCACCTCAGCTCTCAGCGAAGCCTTACAGGGCTGCAAAGTATTCCCTGAGGGGAAGGAGGAGAGGGAGGGGGGAGGCTTCCTAAGACGAGTCGGATGTAAAACATTAATTCTAAGTTATACGTTATGGGTCCACTTCCTGGATTCTCAACTTGACTACTGTTCTGCCACACTTCGTATCAAAGTTGCGCGGTCCTGTGAGGATTCTAGGGGGTGGGGACAATGCCACGGGCCAACCACCTTTTGGCTTCACTCCCCTGGCCCCGGGAGACTGTGCTTCCTGCTTCTCCTGCCATGAGGTGGCACTGGCTCCGGTCAGCGGAGTGACCCAGCAGAGCAGGCAGGAGCTGACCCTGCTGCGGTCATCAGGAAGCCACACGCGCCAGTTGGCACAGTCACAGGTGCGGGGGTCTGCACCCCACAACGTCCCTGTGCCATCCCCGGGTCATCTCCCCACATTGCCCCGTCCTCCCCATGTTGTCCTCACGTCCTCCCCGAGTCATCACTCGGAGGGGAGTTCTCTGGGGCCGTCCCTGAGCAGCAGCAGATGTTGCCTACCAGAAGTGACCGTCATATGCCCGGTGTGAGGTTGTGACCTGACCCTCAGCTTACGAATGCACCTGACAACCAGGTTCATCTCTGATGGGACCAGGCGTGCGTCCTCCTGCATGTGCACCTTCACCCACACGCACACTCTCCTGCCGCGTGGTCATCCAGTGTCCTAATACCAGCCCCGCAGGGCGACCCCCCCACCCTTAGGCCCAGCAACACGGGGACCATTTTAGGGACCATGCCAATGTTTTCGTTTCCGTTTCCTCTAAAATCAGAAACAAATGTATACTATTGACTCCGCGTGGGCTATATTCCTCTTTACTCCCAGGCAGGTGGAGGTAAAATAGAACTTTTAATACTTTTATGGAGAAAGGGATGGGACTCATGAAGCAAATGGGCACAGGGCCCAGGAAGGTCCCAACGCTGCCCAGATGCTAGGCCCCCTCCAGAAGACCCCGTGTCTTCCTGGGTCAGGGGGCACACTGTCTGCTCTTCCTGCTTTCCCCAAAGGAGACCCAGGATGAAAGGAGCCTACACAGATCCCTTCCCGGCTGTGATGAGCATCTGGCATCGTGGGCAGTTTGAAGCCTCATCTGGAGCTGACGGCCAGTAAGCTGGGGGCCACAGGGGGAGGTGCTGGGAAGGCGCCCCAAAGACGGCACAAAGCAGCCAGAACGTACACGCAAAGCACACAGCATGGACAGTGGCGGGAATGAGCTGATCCCAGGTTTTCCCCTGTGACGGGCCCTGGAACCCGTGCCCCCGAGCCCCACACACAGGCCCTGCTCCCCTGCACACCTTCGTTTCTGCGCCTCGGACAGTGCTGCCCACTGGCCCTCCTGCCCTCGGGACCTGGCTCTGCTCTGGCAAGCTGTGCATCCCGGGGCAGGTGACTCAGGGTCTGTGCCTGATTTCCAGTCCGGGAAAAGGGTGATGACGTTAGCGACCTCGCTAGGGTGGGTGGTGTCTACGGATTAACCCCGACACACGTGTCCAGTGCCCAGTGGACAGTGATCATGTGGCCTGCACCCCTGCCGGGGAGGGCAGTGCTTCTAAGTCTCGCCACCGCCACCGTGTGAAGTCATTCACAGCTGTGGGTCTGCGGGTGGGAGAGCTGACCCCACGTCCCGGGGAGGCCGGGGTCCAGGGAATCCGGCTGCAGTGCAGTGCCGAGCTCCTGGCGTCAGAGTCCAGACCTTGCTTCTCACCAGCTTGCCTTGGGCAAGTCACTGAACTGCGCCTCGGTTTGGCCTGGGTGTCGCGAAGATTAAGTGACATGCTATGCTTGCTGTGCCCTAGATGTCCCTACATGTGCCCTAACTAACGCCTGGCACAAAGGGAGGGTTCAGGGAGCCCTAGGTCACTGTCACTGGAGTGTCATTACTATTATTAATTTTAAGATGTTCTCTTGCTTCTTCGTCTTCAAATTACCCCTCCATAAAGTGCCAGGGACACTCGTTCTCTAACAGTTCCTCCTTTGCAGTTTGCAGAGGGCTCGGTCATGATTCTGGAAAAGCTCTGTTTTCAGCTAACGCCTGACGCCCACCTTGGTGAGGCCCCACAGCGAGCCCAGATGATTCTGCGGGCGCTGGGACTCTCGGCACACGTCCTGACCGGATGGAGACCGCCCCCTCCTCCCGTCCCCAGACATCCTGGCCTCGCACTCCTCAGAAAATGGGGCTCGGGAGCGCCCACAGCACTGGCTGGGCAAGGACAATGCCGGGAGGGGTTCTGCTGCCCCGTGCTTGTGGAGACGACCCCACTAGTCCTGTGTGTGTGTCTCGCCGGGCAAGGTGGCGGCTGTTCCGAGCAGAGCCCCTGACTGAGGGGAGCCCCCAGCGTGCCATGGGGGATGCACACCCCCTCCAGGAACAGGAACACGCTCCACAAAGCCCGCAGCATGCTGCAGGTGTCCCTCATCAACACGTCCGGTGAAGGTGAGGTGCGGGGCGGGTGGAGGTTCAGGTCACTAAGACACTGAGCCACGGCTCGGCCAAGAGGCAGGGCACGGGCTCGGCCCCCACGCCCTCCGTCCCCACACTAGCCTCATGGACACGAAGCAATGCTTCCCTGACAATGGCTTTCTCAGAACTGCCCAGGGAGGGGTGGCTCGGTCCCCCCAGGTTTCTGGGTCCCCCCCGACTTTGTGACTCCGCAGGGTGGGCAGGACCCAAGGACTGGCATCTCCAGCAAGCTCCCAGCGATGCCGATGCTGCTGGTCTGGGAACCCCACTTTGAGAACCCTCCCCTCGGTGACTACACGATCAAACTCAGTTTTGGAAAACACTCAAAACCCCATCCAGAGGGACAGCACCGTTCCTCCTGTCCCATGGGTGTAGCGAGAAGGGCAGTGTCCTGTCCGTGGGAAGGAAGGCTGCCGCCCTCACCTGCGGGAGGGGCCCCAGCCATGCACACGGCAGACACAAACACAGCGGGGGAACATTCCGGGGCCAGGGTTGAATCCCGATGACTGATGACTGAGAGACAAACGGGCTGCATGCTGGGCATGTGGCTGGCCCAAGGGCAGAATGAGTCCCCACACCTGCCACCATCCCACTGCACCCCTCACAGTCATCGGGGTTCTGGGCTGTCCTCCCAGCCTGACCCTTATGGCCATGGCGGGAAACAGGAGACCAGGATCGCTGGGCCTGCTCAAGCCTTGCCGGGACAGAGCTTGCGTTCTGGTGCCCAATGGCAGTGCCCCCCGCCCCCAGGAGTCCCCACGCGCCCCACAGCCAGAGGAAGCTCGGGCTGCTGGCTTCCCGGGGGGCTGAGCAGGCCCAGGGAGCCGTGGCGGCCCCAAGCACAAGGGAGAGCACCGCCAAGCACAGCGGCACGGGGCAGGCCCGAGCCCTCCAGTACCTGCATGCCGTCCAGCGTGTTCTGCGGGAAGCGCAAAGCAAGGCACAACCACGGAAGACGTTGTAAAGAAGAAAAGACACGTCTGTGCTGCACCTGCCCCCCAGAGCACATTCCGATGCCACCCCATGCCGGAACATGCACGGCCCCAGCCCCGGGCCAGGAGACCCCCGTGGGCGGCCCAGAGGGCGGCTGAATGCAGGACGCACCCCATCCGGGGGTCCCGGGCAGTGGAGACAAGGACGCACGCCTGCAGCCAGGAGGCAGTCTGAACGTACGTGGGGGGCGGTTCAGGCGGGGGGTGGGGAGTGGATTTTCCAGGGACAAGCATGGCCTCCGGGGGTCTGCTGCCATTCCCTCGGGTGCTAGAGCTCCCCCTGCCATTCGTCACACTCACCCCTCCAGATACTCATTAGCTAACGGACGCGCTCAAAAAACCAACTTTAATATATGGGATGGCAATGGCGGGACCTTTCCCTGCGGGAGGAATAGATGTTATGAGGCAACATAAGGGAACTAGGAGAGGCACACTCTGCTCTCCGTGGCCACCATGCCCCTGGGGACAAAGGACAGGGCCACCTTCCCCCTGTATCCAGGGACGGCGGCCCACACAGAGGCCACCCAGGAACACCCCCACCTATGTGTCTCTAATGAAAAGGTAGGAGCTGTCTGGCCTCTGTCCGGGGGGTTCACGGCAGGAGGGGCCATGGCCCTGCTCACTGGTGTCCTCCGCTTGGACTCCCTGTGTCGTCCCCTGTCTCATTCTGCAAATGCCTCCCCAGGTACCAGCAGCCAAGCTCTTCCCCACCGTCAGTGCCGTCCCTGAAAATGTCCCTGATAGTGTGCCATCCACGGTTCATCCGCCGGCAGGGTGCCCACGGGAGCGGTCCACCCATACCCACACTTTATCCTCCTCCCCATCTTCCTCCTTGCGTGGTCCCGGAGCAGGCTGCAGGGGACAGCGGGTCACGTGTGAGGCACTCAGCTCCGCGGCAGGCTGTGTGACTGTGGGGACGTGACTTCGCCTCTCTGTGCGGTCGCTGTGCTGCCCGTGTAGGGGGTGGGCGAGCAATGCTAGTGGCTGGTGCCCGCGGGCACTCAGGAGTGGCCCCCACATTCACAGCTCCGATCTCGCCCGCCCCCCAACGCCAGCGGGTCAGGGTTCTGGCACTTACCTCTAGCAGCCGTACGGCACCTTCATGTTCCTTCTTAGCTTCAACCTGAGCCTTGTTTATGATAGAAAGAGAAAATAGTCAATGTTTAAAGCAGAGGAAAGAGAAGAGAATCAGACAAATGTCTGAATTATCAGGGCGTGGGTTCCTGCCATTTATCTCCCCAAAAAGCACCCTGTTCCGAGGGTCTAGACCAGTTCTCATTGCCCCCTGCCCTTTGGGCAGACATGGAACAAATGCCGGCCCGCTGGGATGCTCTTTATCAAAATGGGAAAGGACACCCTGATCTGGCAGTGAGGGGACAGGTCAGTGGGAGGTCCCACTCCTCTAGAGAGAGGCGATCACACACAGAAGGGGGCTGGACCCAGAAGGTCAGGACAATCCTTCTGGAAGCCTCAGGGTGGGTGGGAGGGCATCATATCCCCAGGTGCCCGTAGCCACTTGGGAAACAAGACACCGCCATGCAGACATGACTTCCAAGCAGCTGAAGGTCAGCGGCGATCTCTCCGGGCCCCAAGGCGAGCCCGAGATGGGGGTCCCTGAGCATCTGGTGGACTCTCAGCCAATCAGCCTGCGGTGGGGGGCGGCCCTATTCCAATTCCTTGAAGCAAAGCCATCTGCTCCACAGAGTAAGAAATGTCACCCATTTCACCAAACCAGTCTCTCAGAAGGGCTGCTGCCTGAGCCACATGGTGGGTTCACACAAAACCAAAAAGCAACAGTATCATCCCTCATCGCAATGCCAGTGAGTACCACAGCCTGCCTGCCTGCCTGGCATTGGTGGCCGCCTCTTCCAGGAAGAGCCCCAGTTGTGCTGGGGACCCAGCCCCTGTCCTGAGGGCATGAGAACAGCTCTAGACGCTCAGTGGTTGGCTTCCGCGTGGGTGTGCAGGCTGGCTACAGCTCTGCCCATGGATGCTGGGGGAGACGGGACAGATTCTCTTTGCCTACTTGACCCGAGCCCGAGTGGAGGACAGTATGGAGCCCTGCAGCCTTTCTGCCACCATGAGGGAGGAGGCTGGAGCAGCCAGAGGGCTCCCCTGGAAACCAAAAACAAAGCCAATGCAGAGGAGTGCAAAGGCAGGAGAGCACTGGATCCAGCCACATCTGAAGCCCCTCTCAGTTGGACGCACGACTCAAACTCCCTTTTGCTGTTCTCTGTCCCTTGAAACCGAGCGTCCTAATGAACGCAGTCGTCAGCTGCTGGAGAACATGCCACCTCCCGTTTTCAAGTCGGAGGCTCTAAAGTTTCCGTGAGAGCCTGAGCCTGAATCCTAAGCCAGGAAGGAAAGTTGGCCCGCATGGCCACTCGGACGTCCCCTTGCACTGGTTTCAGTGGCCTCACAGATGTTCCCAGAGACGCCGAGGAGCGGGTTCAGGGGGAGGTTTATCTCCAACACTGCAGGCCACCTGCGTCTGACAATTTCGAGCACTCGGGAAGGATCCCCATATTCGATTGAGATTTACATGTAGAGTTCTTGGTTCTAGAGGAACATGGTCTCTGGGAGCCGGGACAGTGAGTAGGGACGGGAAAAGAAGCCAGCGATCGTTTTCCTTGCAGCCTCCCCGGAGGAGGGAGGGCCCGGCATCCCTAGCACAGCCAACGCTGAGGGGCGGCCTGAGATCCCGGCTCGCCTCACCCCCACGCGTCCCGCGGACAAGGATCTCCATAGAAGGCTTCGAGACCCGGGAAAGCGAAGGAACACCGGATTCATCATGCTGTTCCTGAATTCAGCGCAACCTTCAAGTGCTTAAAATCGTTCCTTTCAAAGCGGAAACGAGAGTGATGATAAATAACAAAATGGGGGGGGACGGACAGCCATCCGCAGGACGCACAGGGATTATATAAATAACCTCAGCACTGAGCCACTTGAGTCAAAGATAGTTTCCAACTGGCAGGATAAAAAAACAACAACAAAAAAAAACCCCAAAGTGAGCTGTGAAAACCCTGCCAAGTTCGCAGTAATGACTTGGCTTCCGGCTTCCAGAGACGATCGGGAGCTGGTTTTCATAGGCTGCTTGCAAGCCAGGCCATTTGGGCAGTCAGAATGGATTGTTAAAACTAACAGTTGGAATCGGCAGATCCAAATTCGCCCAACACCGAAGCAACAGCTTACGCGAGGCTCATCTGGGGTCCACAGCCAGCCTGTGGGGAAGCTCTGACCTGCCCACAGGACACACGGACACGTGAAGGACCTGCAGCCGTCAGGGGCACAGGGACCAGCTGTCAGAGGAAGGGGGCTGTCGTCTGGGGAATTGAGGGTCCGAGACGGTGGGCTGACACAGGTGGTGGTTTCTGGGGAGGCACAGAGGTCCAGACACGCTGGGCTCAGCCTCAAGGTCTGGACACTCGGCTGGGATGGCCTGTGTGCCTAATGCGCGGTCTCCTTGGAGACTGGCAAAGGAGGGGGTGGCATGGATGCTGTGAGGGTGCAGCAGGGTGAGGGCACCATGGCACTCTGCAGAAAAGGGTGGGCAGTCCTGGAACCGGGCTGGGGCACCAAGGAGCCTCCCATCAGCACTAAGAGGAAGTATTGACTGGACACTAGTCCCGCAGCTGTGCCCGGCAGGAGCACGGGGGTCAGTCCGTGACCCCCTGCCATCCACACACGACAGTGAGATACCAAACAGCCATCCTTGAAGTGCAGGCAAAGCGCCGATTGCGACTCACGTGGCAGGCTTGGCTCCTCTTACTGCCCACGTCCGTGACAGCCCCAACCCCGAAAGCCACCCCCTCGCACGTGGGAGGAGTTCTGAGCCACAGCAAAATCGGTCAGGTCTGCAGATGAATTTTAAATTTGGAAAAACGCTTAGATGATCACCACGGCGACTGTAACTAGGCGAGGACGGAGCTTGCTCGGAAACAAAGTCTGAAGCTGGGGAGCTGCCGGGCTCTGGCCGCCGGTCGCCCAGAGAGGAGGGGCCGGGGGGTCTGGGCGCCCACAGGCCATGGGGAGGACAGAGCCATGGCTCAGTGACTCGTTCAACGGGCATTTACAAGTAGCACCTAGAATTCATCACTGGGGACTGCGACCAGCCATGGGTCCATCAGTGGCCGCTCCCCGCAGCTCTCCTTCCTTGGGGATCTCAGACCCTCATCATCAGCATTTGCTGAGCACCTGCTACGTGTCGGACTGTGATCTCAGGAGTGTAGACCCTACTCTCTGGAGAAAGACCGCAGGCAAACGGATGAGCCAACGGCACCCCCTGCGGGCTGGTGTGCCAGAGGCCGAGTGAGCAGGGAGAGGAGCCCATTCAAGGCCGGGAGGCAGGGCAGGGAGCTCAGCGCCGAACGCCAGCTCTGCCCTTTTTGGGGAACCAGGCATCCAGGCAAAGATCCAAGAGGGGGCAGATCTGGTGTGGTCAAGGTACAGAGGCCGCATGGCAGGGGAGGGGGAGGCAGCGGGCTGAAGCCCCAAGTCAGCGAGCCAGCCTCCTGGACTCCGGCCCCAGGACTCTCCATGCTTGGAATAAATTTTCACTGTGTCTGGAGCCTCCCCCACCTGCCTCACTCATGCTGCCCAAAGAGCCCCTGGAAATCACCGACACAGGGGCTCCGTCAGTGCCGACCTGAGTGTTGAATGAAAGCAAGGATTCTGGACTGAGCTCTCACCTGCCTGTTTTGCGTGGAGCAGGTGTCCCACGGGACCGCCGGGGGCTGGTGGCCCGTCCATAGGACAGAGCCTGGCTTGGTTGCTTTTTGTATTTTTAGACTCTGCCTCTACTGGCTACTGGAACTACTGGTTGGCTGGATGGCCTCGTTTTCCCTTGATTTCCATGAGAACAGCACTTGATTCTCCAAGCACTGTCCTGCCAGAGGGATGAGCCTCAGAGAAGGTTTGGGTCCCGGGTCCTGACGGCAGATGCACGAGGACCGCACCCCTCAGGGTGGCCAGAGGGGAGGCCGAAGCCTGCAGGCCCCACCAGGCACTGCCTGTATTTTGAGGGAAAGTAAACCCCGCCTTACTTCACACCTGTGGTGCATCAAGAGAAAGGGACACGGCGGGCCCCGGAAGGCAGAGATCCAACAAAGCACAGACGGGTGTAAAGGGACTTCTCAAGACGCGGGTGAAGGGGACCCAAGGCCCAGCTCTGTACCATCAGGGGCAATCAGCGTGGGTGGAGAGGGCCGGGGCTCCGGGCGGGAGTGTCGGGGAAAGCAGAGGTCAAGCCTCCCCAGGTGGGGCCATCCGGAGAGGGTTTTGCTGCTCTGCCAGAGTCTGGGAATACGAAGTGATGGGGACACAGAGAAAAAGGAGACAAGCAGAAAGAGGCAGTAACTCCAGGGAACAGGTGTGGAGCAGGTATGGCCAAGGACGGGGTTCAACTTGGACCTCATGCTGAGGCGTCGTGTGGAAGGCTGGAGGAAAGAAGAGGGCTCACAATCTAGTCTGGAGAGCCCAGTGTGGCGAGGCCGTACCCAAACTGTGTTTAGACCCACAGGACCTGACGAGGTCACCACGGGAGCCAGCGGAGACACGGAGATGGGGCTTGTGGACCGAGTCCTAGTGAATGAACACCCACGAAGCTTACGGGGGACGATCCGCGTGGAAGGAAATTAGTGGAGAGCGAGGTTTCCTGGAGGCCTCAGGCATAGAGAGGCAGACCACCCGAAACTGTGCTCTGGGTCAGAGAGAACAAGGACAGAGGACCAGCCCTTGGCACGATGTCCATGCACAGGTGACAGTAAGAACCACCTCACTGGCAAGATGAGGGCAGGGATCCCCAGTGGAGGGGTGTCAAGAAAGCCTGGGAGCCGAAGCCAGAGAGAACAGGCAGGTCTTAGACACAACCACGCTGCTGTCTCATGGGGCCCAGCTCTGGACCTTGGAGAGCTCTGGTACTTTTATTATGGTAGGGGGACAAGGGCAAGACTTCGGTCAACCCGGACGGAGCCTTAGATAGGAGCATCCTGGCCCAGGGGCTTCGTGCAAACCCAGGTCGTTCTGCTCACCAGCTGACTGGCATTTGGCAAGTTATAAATTTTAATAGCTGTGGAGTTATCTTCCTCCATTCAGAAACAGGAGGACGGTGGGACCCACTGCGTAGGGTTGTAACAGGCTTAAAGTGAGATAGTTCACATCAAAAATAGTTCGCGGCGCCCAGCAAGTTCCTGGCTTCTTTTTAAGTTTAGTAAATATGCCATTTGTTCCTCCTTCGCCCTTCCTGACTCCTGCAGCCTGTAACCCCGAGACCTCTGGGCCCTAATGCCCTCTCCCCCACACTGCCCCAGCCCATCCGTGGGTCTGCACAGCCCTGATATGTTTATGTGCAAAGAAAATGCCCCCATCCCCTGTCTTTTTTGCAGAAAATGAAAACACAGGACGATGGGTCTCCTGAGAGCATCGCCGTGTCCACTAGTGTCCCTCCATCTAGGACCGGAGACTTTCCTCCCATCCCATGCACCTGCCGCTGGGCGTCCACACATCCAGGACCACACCGGCTCGGCGATGTTTCCATTCAGCCCAGATCCAAAGCCATGATGTGGGTCAGTCTGGACGTGCCCCTTCCTGCATGCCTCCAACCCTGTGCCTCTCACCACAGCCGCTGAGCACACAGCTCCCTCTCCTAATCCATCCTGGGGTGTGTCCACGTCTCCCCTCTGCAGCCGCCGCCCCAGGCTGAGACCCCAGGCTTTGTGGCAGCGGGTAAGGGGCCTTCCTGCCCCTCCACAGATCAGTCCCCAGCGCGAGGGTCAAAGGATGTTCACTAGACCCTGTTACACCCGCTTCAGCCCCCAGTGGCTTCCCGATCCCTTGGAACAAGATGGAGCTCCTTCCCACAGCCCGCAGAGTGCACAGGGCTCAGCACCACCCTCCTCGGGATGTACCCTCTGCCCATTGGGCATGACCTGTGTCCCTCCAAGGGCTTCCTTCCCCAAGTACTGGGGACCTGAGCCCTTACATGACCTGCCACTCACCTAAGTTTGCCCTGTCTGGAGTCCCGCAATCATGAACCCGTCACTTCATTCTGTCCCGTCTTCCCTGCACACGGCATCTGCATGACCTCTGGAGGGGGCTCGCTCTCCCTCGGTGCCGGCATAAGCCATCTCCCCCGCCACTGGGGTCCCCTTCCAGAACAACCCAAAGACATTGACACACATTGGACACCCAACATTTGTGGAATGAATGAATGATCTCATCAGCAAGGGCAGCATGCTGGCCCTCCATGGTGGAAATCAAACGGAAAATAAGAATCCTGAAGAAATCGCCAATCTCGTTCTGCTCAAGGGTCCACCTTCCTCTTGGAAGGCTTTGTTCAAAAATTGGAGCGCTAAGAAATTACCACCTTGGCACCCTGGTTTTGCACTGGTTTCTCCTCCTCAGCTCCTGCCCCTGGTGAAGCATCAGTGTGTCCAAGATATAGGCCACAATGAACACCGGGAAGGGACAAAGGAAACCGGACGAGGCACAGAGGAGGCTGAATGACAGCACTGGCTCTGGTGCACCTTCCTGCCATGGGATGCTTTGTAAATGAAACTCCAGGCTCCTAGAGAACACGCTGCTGGCAGTCACTGATATGTCGCCCCCTTGGCACGGAATCTGTGTTTTCCATGGGCTTCCTATCTGGGGGGTGCCCAGCCAGGGCTTCCGGGGCCACGGGGAGCGGGTGCGGGTGCCGGGCGGCCATGTCTGGGCATGGCACCGCAGGCAGAAAAGAGCCGTATCTCTCAGCCTGGGCCCCAGCAAGCAATATCCTTTCTGGATAACATCTAATGAAAGGCTGCTTCCCACTGTTCCAGCAGGTAGTCAGTCTGGATGACCCCCACCAGCGCAGGCTCAGTGACAGCTACCCTCGACAGGGGTCTCAATAAACAATCAGAGAAGCAGCCTGGGAAATTCTCTACCTGCTGCAAAACTGGCTCCCAAACTCCGAGGACAGGGACCATCCCAGCAGACTCCCATCACCAGTCAGGTGGCACACGGCCCTGGGTCCTTTATTACGAGATCAGAGGCCTGGAGAGGCGATGGAGTGGGTGGAGGGCCACCCAGACTGGGGAGGAGCTGCCGGCAGCCCATCTGCTGGCCGGTCTCAGGAGCGCCCCCCACGGGCAGCCATGCACCTGCAGCCCAGGCCAGAAAGTCTCTGGCTGGTGGGGCCCGCTGCCCTCTGGGGAGGAGTGGCTCCGGGTAGGATCAGGGCTTTCGGAAGGAAAGGAGAACCACACCTGGGACCCCAAGTCCCCCCATGGAGAGACAGAGGAGAGGACCACAGCTGATGACAAAGATGGGTCCAGGGGCCATGTTCTTAGCCCCCCAGCACCACCACGGGTGCCACAGGGATGGGCCCCCTAAGCTTCTCAATCCTTCCCTCTATTTTCCCTCCTTCTTCCTTCTTAGTCTCTGCTTCTCTTTCTTCTTTGTGTTCCTTCCCTCTCCCTCATGCTGAAAATATTGCCCTGAGACTTGATCTGTTCGCCTAACAGCACATCATGGAAATCTCCCCAGTTCAGCAGATACAAACCCAAGTTATTCCTTTGAATGACCAAGTTTATACCCCCAGCCTCGGGTGGGCGTCCAATTCAACCCCGTTCCTCTCCCCCATTCCACCAGTACTGAAAACAAACAAACAAAAAACCCCAAAGAACAAAGAAAACAAAACCCAAGTCATGTCAAACCAGTTCCTGTGGTTCTTCTGGGCATCTTTTCTGGAATGAAAGGCTGCAGAATAAGACACACATGTGTGCTTAATTGTAAACAATGTTGGTAGGGCTGAGGCCACTCACAGCGGGCAGTGGCCCCCGCCGGCATCGCTCGGGGGAGCGTCCAGTGTTTGCAGTGGAGCTTGGGACACGGTGGTTCAGGGGAGCTGGGCAGCACTGGGTAGCACAGACGCGGGGAAGGTGGGGAGACGCAGGTGCACAGCTCCCGCCCCCCTCGCCCTCCACACCCCTGCCCCAGGCACACCCACGGCTCACCTTCTGCAGAAGGTCGATCTCCTGCTGTTTGGCGTGGAGGACAGCCAGCGCCTGCTCATGCTCCAGTTCCAGCTGCTGCCGCCGTTCTGCAGCCTCTCGCATGTGCTACGGGGGACAGGGCGGGGTCAGCGCGGGAGCCAGAAGACCTGCGAGGGGGGCCCGCGGGCTACTCTGGCTTTCCCTGGGGTCAGGACCCACCCCTTGGGGAACCGGTGCCAACTCACCTTCCACCTCAAACTACCTCATCATTTCCATGCCCTGAGCACTGAGCAGAACCAGAGGTCATCATGCAAAGGCGAGCTCTCGCTCCTGCCCATTCCCTCAGCCTCGTGCAAGCTAAGGCCACAGGTTACAGATCCTGGGCTACCTAGCCAGGAGTGCTCCAAGCCCTTTAGGACGACTTACATTCTGCCACCCTCCCATTCATCTAGGAGGCAGGCACACTAATGGGGGAAACTGAGGCACAGGGAGGTTCTCCTGGCTCATCACACAGCTGGTGAAGGGCTGCCCCAGATTCGAGTCAGGCTAGAGGGAGCCTCTGAACCCCAGGCTTCGGTGCCATTTGCTGCCGCCCCGCTGCAGACCTTCGCAACCATTCCCTGCAGGTGCTGGCGGGGACCGCACAGATACCGCACGGATGGATAGTGGAGACATGCCTCTGGCGTTTCGCGACAATACAGGGCCGAGCGCGACATTTAAGAGCCACACCGCACCGGTTCAAATCCCAGCGCTGAACCTGGGCCGGTGATTTAACCTCTCTCTGGGCTTCACCTTCTCCCCCAGATCAATTATTCATTAGCATCACTAGCCATTTATAAATGGCTAATTAACAGCACGCTAAGTAACCGTTGGTGATTGCTAATTATGAATCGGCACCTGCTCTGTGCAGGTGTTCTGAACCTCTCACGATGTGGGGTGGTATCTCGCATCTAGGAAGACTGGTGTCCCCTTTCACTCTGAGCCTAAGGAGCCCCATGCCTGTCACTTCACGGTGCCCTCAGGCTGCTTCAGCGCATGCGCGGAGGAGGAGGAGCCTGCGGGAGACAAGCCTCCTTGGGGGAGAAGGAGCCTGCAGGTGGAGCCAGTGGTGGGAAGAGTCTGCGCAGGGGAGGAGCCTGCACGGGAGGAGGAGCCTGCACGGGAGGAGGAAGCCTGCACAGGGGAGGAGGAGCCTGTAGGAGAGGAGCCTGTGGGGGAGGAGGAGCCTGTGTGGGGGAGGAGGAGCCTGTGTGGGGAAGGAGGAGCCTGTACCTGGGAGGAGGCGCCTGTGCAGGGGAGGAGGAGCTTGCACAGAGGTGAAGCCTTGGGGGGGTAGGAGGAGCCTGTGGAGAGGAGGAGTCTGCGGAAGGAGGAGCTTGCACTGGGGAGGAGGAGCCTGTGCAGGGGAGGAGCCTTGTGGGAGGAGGATCCCGTGGGGCAGGAGGAGTTTGCACAGGAGAGGAGCCTGTGGGGGAGGAGGAATCTGTGCAGGGGAGGAGTCTGGAAGGAGGAGCTTGCACTGGGGATGAGGAGCCTGTGTAGGGGAGGAGCCGGAGCTTGCACGGGGAGGAGCTTGTGTGGGGGAGGAGGAGCCTATGCAGGAGGAGGAGCCCGCAGAGCCAGCAGAGAGGCTTCCTTCAGGACCACCAGCGGCTGGCACCGGCACTGGTAAGACCACGGGGACGAAGAGGCTGCACTCCCTACCGGGCCCCCACCAACGCGGGCACTACCTCGTCTGACGCCGGCAACTGGATGCTGCGGTCACCGCTGGCCGTGGGCAAGGGACCAGGAACAGCCGAACCACTTGCTCGAGGCCACACAGCACAGAAATCGGCCAAGCCAGGGTCTGCTGCTCGCTGACCCTTCCTGGCCTGAGGCCCCCTACCAAGCGCCTTCTCCACCGTGAAACTCCGCGGCGGGCCGATCCACGGTGTCGGGCTCCGGGCGCCAGCCTGGTTTGCACGAACAATTACGCAGCTGCCTAATTACACTATTGTTCCGGCTAATTTCTGGGCTTCTGTTTATTTTGGAAGCGGGCACTGCCGAATGCAGCCCGGGTACTCTTTATTTAGCTTCGGGAAGGAAGTTATTAGTGGAAGGAGGAAACAATTTTCCTTACAAGGATTCATTAGCAACACGGACCGAACTCGGAGGTGGTCCAAGCGCGCCACTACAGGCTTCGCGGCCGCGTGGACATCGCCAGGCAGCGGGCTCTCCGTGGATTCCTGACAGGTCAGACGGATGGGAAGCACTGGCTTCGAAATTTCGGGGTCACTGTGGAGTGGTTGCCAGAATGCCCACGTGTGTACAAATACATGCCCCTTATGCAGTGCGATGGTCGCGGCTGTGGTGCCCCAGCAGGGAGGACAGATACACAGGAGCTCTGACCACTCAGGTCCCATCAAACACCCCCTCCATCCCAGCAGCTTCCCCTGCACCTACTGCCCTGCTCAGTGACCCCGCTCCAGAGGCATCTCCACTGGCCACATCCACACGTTTGTTTCCCACTCAGCTGTCTGGCTTCCCCCATCGATCAGCTGACACCCCCCTGCCTGACACCCCCCAGGAGGACAGGGGAGCAAGGGGCCATCCAGCCCAGGGCCACCCCTTGCTCTGGGGACCCATCCCTTGACAGGTACACTGTTCCTGCCCAGGAGCCCGACACCGGCCCAGCTCCCCTCCTTCCCCCACTGCTCCCTGCCTCCTGCAGGGCCTCTAGACTGGGGCTGGCTGCTGCTTGCTTGTACTCTTTCCTGGGCGGATATCCCACATCGCGACTGTAGCTGCCATTTATAAACTCGCGCCCGGGAATGAAAGCCTCGTGTCTTCGCTTGTAGCCAACTGCCCACTCACCCTCTCCACGTGAAGGGACAGGAGGAATCTTAAATCTAGCCTGTCCAAAATGGAGTTCTGGACTTTCTCTCCCAAACCACTTCCTCCCCAGTCTGCCCATCTCAGCAATGACATCATCATTCATGTAGTTCCACCTCAGTACCGCTGTCCCTTCCTGCTCAATGTCCAGAGTTTGCAAAGTGCTTCCATGTCCCCCGCCAACTTCCTTATCAGCCACCGCCAGGCCAGCTAACAACCCCTCTGCCCTGGGCCATAACCACACACACAGGTGGTCTTCCTGGCCCTACCAGGTCCCCCCAGCAGAGCTGCGAGGCACTCTCCAGGGCAGAAGTCACCCCCATGGCTTTACGTGTCTGCCCAACTGTGTAGGGATGTCCAGGGAGCTGAGGAAGCGTTATTTCTGGGTACATCTGGGAGGCATTTCCAAAAGACAATGGCATCTGAATGGGTGGGAGAGGAAAGGAGTCACCATCCCCTACATGGGTGGGTTTCATCCACTCCACTGAGGACCTGAAGGACAAAACGGTGGCTAAAGGGCCTATTCACTCTGTCTGCCTAAACTGAGACATATCCATCCTCTCCTGCCCTCAGAAGCTTGTGTTCCTGGTTCTCAGGCTTTCAGACTCAGGTCAGGACTTACAATCAGCCCCCAAATCTCAGTCCTCCAGACTCGGACAGAATTGTGGACAGCAGATCAAGACCTTAGCTGAGATTAAGAGTTGGACATTTTACCAACCAAGCCACCCAGGTGCCCTGAAGAGAGACTGCTCCTGATTGCATCATCTGAGCACCTTGATTCAGCCATGCCTGAAGTCCAACCTCTCATACACCCCAATTTATCAACCATGATGACTTCCTTTTTTTTCTTCAAACTATTTGATATAGGTTTCTATGAACTTTATCCCAAATTGTCTAAACTAAAATATTTTTCAACAGCATTTATGGCTGCCACAAAATGTAATTCCATAATGTCTCATATTATGCACTAAAATTTCATGACTTTTTATTCTTGCTTCTCAAAATAAAGAGACAGCTGGTGGATCGTGACAGCTTTGGGGCTGTTTCAATTCCTTGTTTGGGGTAAGAGCCAGCCAGAAAGCCAAAGGAGCTGTCCAAAAGTAACTGACACCTTCTCAGCAGCAGAAAGAGTTTAAACTGGAGGTCAGGGAGGTAGGGGTGGGGTGGGGACAGGGTGCTCGGTTTACCACGAGAGTCATCACATCAGTGGGCCTCAGCAGGCCTGGTAGATAACCAGCTGCCATGTATCTCCACCGGTCAGGTGAAGGAGTCCTAAGCTCAAAGTCATTGGCAGGATATTACCTTAGCCACTGGGTACCCATCATGTATGGAGCTGGAGACCCAGGGGTCCAGCAACAGAACCAGCAAGAGGGTGTCCCTGGAACTCCAGGCAGATGGCCAGTTCAGAGAACACAGACCTTCCATCCCAGGAAGGAGCCAGGAGATGAGCTCAGGGATCAGGTGGAAGGAAGAGGAGTGATGTGGGAAACCACATTCCGGCACAGGAGTTCCCAATCCCACATGTGGGGCTGCAGCAACTCAGCCCCCATCGGTGCTTAGTGTAGGTCGTACCCCATGTCCTTCTTGTCTCTCTGTAAGCAGGTTGCTGGCATGGTCTTCCCAGCCCCACACATCAGCAGCCTCCCAGTCACCTAAGCACAAGTTCTGGAAGGAGTGTTGTGCCAAGTACTTCATACACACAACCCACTGAATCTTTGCAGCAACCTCAGGGGCAGGCAATATTTTTACTTCTATTTATAGAGAAGGAAACTGAGGCCCAGAGAGGTTAAGTAACCTGCCCAAGGTTGCCCAGCCAGGACATGATGAAGCAAGGACTTGAACTCAGGGAACCCAGCTCCCTGACCTGGGTGCACATCTCTTCACTGTCATCTCCCTGCTCGGTGGGATGTTTCCCCAGGGATCCTTCCTATGCGCGTGACACGTGCTGATATGCCACAGGCCTCCCAGGACAGGATCAGTGTGAGACCTTTTCATGCGGTGTCTTCGAAGCCCTCAGGCTGTGAGACACACTCCGTCCTCGGCCACAAGGCGAGGTGCGGGCCATGTGGCCAGGGCAACAGAGAGCAGCCTGCATTTCTCCTGGGAGGAGTTCACATCATGGTTCCTAGGATTCCCTGCAGTAGTCCTGATTCTGGCTGTCCCATGGAGCGCTAGGACCCACGTGTTCTCACAGAGAGCCCGAAAACCCCCGGCTTTCACAAAACACAAAACCCCAACAAATTCCTGATATTTGG